CTGATGCCCGGCCCAGATCCCTCCAGGCCCACGGAGGCCCAGCCGCCCTCCGCGGCCATGCTGGCTGCCCCCGTGTCCTGGCTGGCCAGTGGCCAGACGTGCCGAGGCCTCGGCGAGGTAAGGTGGGCACGGGCGTGGGAGGCAGGGTCCTGGCGGTGGGACTGGGGGGCCAGACCAAGGGCGGAGCAGAGCGGGGCTGCAATGGGGGGGCTGCCAGGAGGAAAGCTGCCTCCTGACTGCAGGGCGCTGGAGCTGGGGCAGGCGGTGTTTTCTGGGGGGCATAGATGGGGAGCCCAGATCTGGAGGCATTGGCTGCAGTGTCTGTGGGGCCTCTAAGGACCTGGGGAGGGGTGTGGGGCTGGGGTGCCTGCCGGGTCCTGATGAGGGGGGTGATGCCTGCAGATGTAACCAGGGCGGGTCCCAAGACGCACCCCCTACCCTGGCACCAGCCCTGGAGGAGAGCAGGACCAGCAGCGGGGCCGAGCGCGGAGGCTGAGCAGCGCGACCCGCCGGCCCTTGGGGCGACAGTGCCAAATGCTGGCAGAGCCGCGACGCAGTGGGCGGGGAGTCGCGCAGAATCTAGCTCACGGGGCCACGGCACCTGGTCTGCCCTGGGGCGTGGGGGTGGGCCTAACAGAGGGGGTGCAGAGAGACGGGGTGGGGGAGGTGTCACGGGGCAACAAGGGCCCAGCTACAAAGAGAAACAGGTCAGAGGCCTGGGCGGGATGAGGGACAAGAGGGTAAGTCCAGGTGTGTGTGCGTGTGCACGCGTGTGTTTAAGGTGAGAAATCCAGCAGCACAAGTTGTTGGGTGACGGGAATGGCTTATCCGCAGAGCACCATGAACACGCAGAGGAGAGAGGGGAGATGCTGCAGCTACTCCCTAAGGCCGTGGCGGGAGTCGGCAGGGACTCCCTGGCCGGCCGTGGGGTGGGGGGCGCCTGCGGTTGCAGGCCGGGGTGGCACAGGCGAGGAGGCTCAGATGCTGGCAGGTGGGCGGATGGGGTGTGGGGTGCGCTAAGCTTTCTTGGGCAGGGTCAGCTGGGGAGGACGAAAGAAGGCCTGGCGAGGTGAGAGGACCAGGCGGAAGCTGTCCAGCCTAGAGAGGGAGCGGGGCAGCCGCGGGGCCCAGGAGGACGGGGCCATGGGAAGGAACGGAAAGTTCCACACGGCGGAGCCCAGCAGGACCGGCGAAGGGGCGGTGCGGTCACGACAATGGAGAGAAGAATCAACTCAGCGCAAATCCAGGGCCTGCACCCCACTGGGGCCCCCTCCCACATAGGAGGGGGCTGGAGGCCTGGGGGCGCGGCCAGCTCAGCGCTCTGCGTCCCTCGCCCGTCCGCTCCCGGAGGACGTCTGCGAGGGCTGCGGCCCATCAGAGCGCTCGAGGCTGTGCCGCCAACATTGCAGGAAAAGGTAGATCAAAAAAGTGAAGTCCTTGGGCCTCCCCGGTGGCGCAGCGGTTGAGCGCTGGGTTGCGAGGCTGCGCGCGGCCTCTGCGGTGCCGGTTCGATCCCCGGCTGCTCCCCGGCCACCGGAGGAGGGTCCCCCATGGCGCGCAGACCCCCCCTGCCGCCCGCTGCTCCCCTCAGCAGTGTCCTTCGGTCCTTCTGCCTGCTCTGCTCCCCGCTCTGGCTCTGGTGGATTCTCTCACCCTCCCGCGCTTCTGACTGTACCCAGTGCTTGTATAAATAAATAAATAAATCTTTAAAAAATAAATAAAAGTAAATTAAGGTGAGCAAAACTTTAAAAAAAAAAGAAAAGAAAAAAGAAGTGAAGTCCCCCGTGTAAAAATGGGTGAGAAGAAACGGAGCTCCAGCCCCACACATTTCCTCCTGATCAATAAAGTGTCTTAGTTCTAGACGATCGGCTCCAACTTCAACCCCAAGATACACTGGTTAACTCTAGCGGTTAATGTTCAATAAAAAACTCAAGTCTCCCGCTCCTGGAGCAATGATCCCGTCTTTCTTTATCCCTTGGGGATTTTGCTAGCGCCAGAAGCATCACGGGCACGGCGCTGTCAGAACAGAGAACGTAAGGGCTGGCGTGATTCTGTAAGGGCCCCACCCTGCCGCCTGGGCCCACACTGCGTGGCTGGGGAGCTCTCGAAGGCAGCTGCCGCGACGGAGACCTGGACGGCAGCCAACGCAGCGCAGCCAGTGCGGCCAGAGAGACCTGCAGCTCAAGCCTGAAATTTGCTACCGGCAGTGATGTTGGTCCAGGCGCTTAAACTCCCTAAACCTCAGTTTCCTGATGTGTAAAATGGGAACAGTGGTGGCCACGACTCGTAGATGATGTAACGTGGAAGCACTCAGCCTAGAGCTCAACACGCAGGCGCCCCCAGACGCTGATGAAGATGACGACGATGGTGATGACGATGTGGTGCCGCGGTGATGACTGTGGCAGTGATGATGGTGGTGACGAAGCCCTGGTGGTGGTGGTGATGATGACGTGACGGTGTGATGATGGTGTGAGGATGACAGCGATGATGTCATGATGGTGGTGATGATGTCATGACGACGATGTGGAGAGGATGTGATGATGATGGCGATGATGTCATGAGGATGATATAGGGATGATGATGGTGATGACGCCACGGCAGTGGTGATGACATCATGGTGGTGATGTCATGATGGTGGCGGCGATGTCATGGCGATGATGTGGAGATGATGATGATGAAGAGAAAGAAGAGGCGCAGCAGAGGGAGAGAAGGCGGGACAGGGAGGACACCAAGGAGGCTGAGGTAGTGACAGAGGAAGCGGGTGGTGGGGGTGGGTGGTGGCCTGAGAAACACGCCTGGGAGATGGCCGCCCTCCGGCCCCGGCATTTACCTGGTGCTTCTAGGCTCTCAACAGACAATAGCGAGTGGATGCTGAGATCATTTCTAAAGGCGCCAGCTCCACGCGCCGCGACCCCCTGGGCGTGCAGTGACCTTTCTCGGGTGAACACGTGAGCTTCAGGGCGCAAAGCGTGAGCGAGGTCGTTGCCAACACAAGGCTGGGTGAGTGACACAGTGTGGGTTTCCTTGTCTTTAGGGACGAGGGGAGAGGAGTGATCAGGGAGAGGAGAGAGTGAGAGGGAACGTGTGGGGGCCAGTTACACCCCGGGATTCTGACAGGGCGGCCCGTGGGAGCCCTGAGCGCCGGCTCTTCGTCACCAATCGTCAAGAGGCTCCCTCGGAAAGCTCCGGACACCCAAGGGGTGCCTGGAACCACGCATGGTCGTTACCAATGGGCCTAACCTGCCAAAGCAGGCCGCAGGCACGTCCTCCTGGACAGGGGCCGCCTCTTAGTCCCCTGTCAGCGCCCAGCCTGGTGGGCATGAAGCTAGCAGGGCCGGGGAGCCTGGTGGGCAGCCGCTCCAGCCACCGCAGGAGCCAGTTCTGGGGACACAACTCCTTGGGCCGTGGGACACAGCTCTCTGCAGAACGCAGGGCTCCCGTCTCTGCACACACTGTCCCCAGCATCCGTGTGGGGTCAGCGGCCAGGGTTGGGCATCCAGCTCACACCGGGTTTGCTCGGAGCCTCCCCAGCGCCCGCTCCAAGCTGCAGCTCTGGCTGCTGGTCCGTCTCTGGCCCTGGCTCTATCCTAGATTCCGCCCGCACGGCCCTCCCCGCCTCCCCACCCGCCCCTCTCTTCCCCACCCCTCGGGCTGCCCCACGGGGGTGTGACAGCGCTGACACGGCAGACCCACGCGGCCAGGGCTTGTTCTCGGCCTTCTCTGAGATGGAGCTCACACACCCCCTTTGAAACACCTTCTCGAGGGATGAGAAGGCCAGTTGTCCCTGAGCTGGGGCCAGGGTCACCGCCCGTGCTCGCTGCGCCCCCGCTGGGGTCCAGGGCTGAGGCGCTGAGCGCCAGCGCACGCAAGGGGTGGCCTCGGCCACAGACGCCGAGTCTCCCCCACAAAGGGTGAGATCACTCCCCAACAGGACGGACGCGGGTGGCACTCTCTGCTGGGGAGTCTGCTCGCCTCACGCCGTTCCCAACACGCTGCCCTCGTCACCCCAACTCTCTTCCTGAAGCACACCCCCTCCGAGCTGGCTCAGTTTCTTTCATTTTAGAATAAACTCGTCTAAAGATCAGAAATCAATTCTGAAGCCATCACAGAGCACAGAGGAGCTGCTTCCCGAGCAGGGCCCGGTTCCGTGGCGGCTCACTGACCGTGGAGAAGCCGGGGACAGCAGGCCCAGCAGGGCCCGGCGCTCGGGCCGGAGCCAGGGGTGGGGGTCGGGGGCCAGGGGCCGGCCCAGCACAGCCACGCCGCAGCCAGCTCCCGCCTCAGGGCCGTCACTCGAGCGGCCCCGTCTATTACGAAACACAGATGGAACCGACCCCGCCTCCCCTGCGCAGGCTCTGGGCCGAGGGCCGCCCTCAGTGCCCCCGCAGACGCGACACGCAGGCCAGGGCACCCCGGTGAGAGCAGAGGCGCTGTGCGGAGGCCCCACCGGGGCGGCCATGCGGGGCGGGGGGGTACGTCTTTCTTCCATGAATTGCCCCTAAAATCATTTCCATTGCACCCTGGGAATGAAGATGCCCCTGTGCCCGGCCAAAGCTGTGCGACGTGCCCGCGGCCCTTTGCTTCCAATTTATTCTGTTCTGTTATTTAAAAAAATCCCCCAACAGGAAGATTAGTCTCCTCGGATTAAAGTTCAAGGGAAGATGAATTCCGCATCGTGCCCCGGGCTCCCTGTGCGCCGGGCGCGTTCTGGAAGAGTCCTCTCCTCCTTCCACCCGCTGCTGGGGCGTGACAGTGAGCAGAGGACCGAGGAGAACAGGAGCCGGGGGCGGCGCGCGGGGGCTCCTGCTCCGTCACTTAGCAACGGTCCACGCTCCCGAGGAAGCACCGCCCGGGGCGACACGGAGGCCCGGCTCAGCCGGAGCAGCCGATTTGCCCAGAAGAATGCTAATAGGATGATTGTCCCAGAAGCCAGGGCCCGGCTCCGGGAGGGGCTGGGAGCTGGGCAGGGGGTGGGGAGGTCTTGCCCCTCCAGGACTCACCACTTATCCACTTGGCCTCGGGGTCGTGGATTTTGAAGTCGTCACTGAACAGGTCGTCCACCGTGACCTTCTTCTTCTGCGAGAGGCTGCTGTCCTCCTCTAGGAGAGAGGGAGAGGCCGTCACACTCACCTCTGGTGCAGGCGGGACCCACACAGCACGCAGCGTCCCCCCCAACCCCCCCCCCCCCGCCACGCTGTGCGCATGAGATACGCAACGTCAAGAACCATGTTCAGCAAATGAAGAAGCCGCTCGAGCTTTTTGTTTTTAAAGAAACGGTCAAAAGCCACGGCGGGGGATGGCGTCACCCCCTCGCCGGCAAGGAGAAACGGCAGCTCCTAGGTGTGGAGGCAAATGACTGTTTCCTGCTGAGTATGAGCCATTACGAGGGAGTGGCCGAGAGGTGGGGGGGCCGTGACCGTGGGGACCGTGGGGAGTCATTCGTCGCCCGCCGAGCACTAGCCTGTGCTGTCCGAGTCTCCTTGTGCCTCACTCCCCGGCTGGCTCTGCGTGAGGAACCAGCTCTTGTCCAGACAGGGCCACGTCCCAAATGGAACGTGCTTGCACACCCCTTGCACACCCCCTGAGCACGGCCGGGGAGGACATGACTGGCTGAGCCGTGAGGGCGCTGAGTCAACAGCTGACGGCGCCTGCCCTGAGACTTCAGAAATCTGGCGCCTTCACCCTATTTCCAGGGGTTTGGCCAAGCTCCCGGGGTCCCACCTCTGCCCCAGCAGCAGCGCTCCCTGTCAGGGCGAGGCCTGAGAACCTGGTCATTGAACAGGTGGAGGCTGCTCAGCGCCGGCTCACGGGCGCCCACGCCCTCACCCTGCAACACTGACAAGCGCCTCACGCTGGCCACGGGCACCGTCAGCCGGGCGCTCGCCCGCACCCCTGCCCGCAACAGAAGGCGCAGCTGCTCCCGCAATCCTCTAGGAGCCTCGAAGTCCCCTTCCACTGCCCCCGTGTGGGCCCTGCCCATCGCCTCTGTGCTGGCCACGGTGTGCAGCGTGCACACCTGCCAGGGGCTCCGAGGCCGCGCTGCGCCCCAGCCGGCCTCTCTGCTCCCCCAGCCAGTCTCTCTGCTCCCCCTGCCGGCCTCTCTGTCCCCCAGCCGGTCTGCTCTGCTCCCCTTCCCGCTGCTGGCCGTGGCACCTGCTCCGCGTCTTGGTGGTCACGGCACGAAAACCCTCAGCCGCATCCTTTGCCTCTTTGACTTTTCTGTGTTCAGGCCGGGCCGGGCGGGGCGACAACGGGCATGGTGTAGATGACCAGTGAGACCAGAATGAGACTCGTGAGCGAGGCCCAAGCCTCTGCGGGCCGCGGGCATGACCCATCTCCAGCGGCCTTTCCTTCTGGCCTCTCTGGACGTCACGGTGACCGGCGTCGGGACAGCCGCGTGTTACTTCATGCGTCGGCTGCCGGACTGCCCTCGAGGACGGGTGCCCGCGAGTCTTCTGGAGGAGCATCTGCTGGGACTCGGGCTGGGCCTCCCCCAGGCGCTAACAAAGCAGGCCCAACGCAGCTGGTCCCCAGGTCCTCCCTGACGGTGGCCGCAGGCGCCTGGGACCAGACACGGATGCCTGGTGTGGACGAGGGTGACGATGTCGTCACCGGGGCCCCGACGCACTGCCAACGGCTGCGCCGCCACCTGGCGGTTGACCATCGCTAGGTGAACGATGGGAAGGCAGTTTATTTGCTTTCTGAAATCTTTTCTTTGAACAAAATACTGCTCTATTGAGCACCTACAGGTTTTATTTTTATTTTTATTTTTTGTGGAATAACTGGGGTGCAGGCCAGAGGTGGGGGGTGAGAGGACTCCCCAGAGACAGAGCAGGGAACAGAACAGGTGGATCCACTGAAATCCACTGCTGAGGGGAGCAGCGGGGAGACAGGAGAGGTCTGCTGCGCCATGTGGGTAGCTCCCTGGCCCAGGGGCCAAACTCAGGCCACAGCAGTGACAGCCGAGACTGAACCCCTGGGTCGGCAGGGAGGCCCAACTACAAGCTTTAGGGAACACCTAAAAATGTCTTCTGTTATTTTCAAAACTATTATCTTGGTTTTAAAAGACATTGTAAAACCTGTGAGATGTTTGAGTGGGGCAGAGGCACTGCGATGGCTGTTGGGGGCGCCTCCTATCAGGAATCCGACTGCCATGGTCAGCTTTGCGCCCGAGACTCTCACTGCCAGCCGCCCGGACTGACCACCGCCTGGACTGTGATGCGTCCTTCACACGGTTAACGACTGTCTAGAGAAGTCAGTGACTTAGAGTTTGGTGCTTCCCCGAGGGCAGAGATGGTGCCCAGCACGTGTTCTGCCCAGCCCTGAGGGGCCGTAACCGCGGAGACCTCCCAGCTGGCCCTGGGCGGGCGCGTGGCCAGTGCTCACCGCAGCTCTGTTCTCAGAGGCCAGCCCCGGGGCAACCTGAGTGCCGACAACAGAGGAGCAGGTCGGGAAGACGTGGTCTCCGGGCACCGTGGAACCTACTCAGCCATCAGAAAGAGAAACTCTTGCCATCTGCGGCCACACAGGTGAGCTGGGGGGCGGTGCCGAGTGAGGCAGCCAGAAGGAGACAAATACCGGAGGCTGCGACTTCCGTGCGGCACCCAGAGAAACCGAAGGGTCAGAGAAAGCCACGTCGGCAACCAGCTGTAGACCCCTCTGCAGGGCTGAGGCCGTGGCGGGGAGGGGTGCGGGCAGGGTGGGGTGCGGCAGGCCGGGGGCCTCGGAGGTGGTGCAGTGCACCCAGCTGAAGGGCCCTCTTGCGCCTCTAAGACACAGATGGTGACGTAGCCAGAGTTTCCTCAACGGGAACAGAGCGAAAACTCAGAACTGCGGGCAGCAGGGCTGGCCGGGCCTCGGCTGAGCAGACGGTGCGTCTGCGCGCTGTTGTCCCGCGCCCTGGGGCCGTCTGCGCCACACGGGACTCTGCGGAACGGGCGGGATCGGAGGAGGCGTCGTTTTTCACCGTCGGCGCTGTTCCTTCACGTGATGGCTTTTCCTCAAAAGCAAACCACCACCGCCCGCCCCGTTCATGCCCGGCTCCGCAGCTGCTCCGTGACAAGACTGTCCCGTGAAGACGCGGGCGCCGGCCTCACCGTGGGGGCTGGAGGGCGCCTGGGCCGCCCGGTGCGCGCGGGGGCAGCCCTTCGCCGGCGTCCGCGGGTTCAGTACAAGAAGCTTTGCAGATGCTGCCCTAGTTTCCTCCGCCGTCTCACCACCGTGAAAGCATCGGGACCCGGGCAGCCCCAGCAGCGGCCTGGGAGCCTCGGCACTTAAGCCAAGAGCACGCCCGGAAGCCAGCGTGTGACCCGGCGCTCGGCCCAGCCCTGGAAGGGACGCTGCAGCATGCAGGCCTCCCCTCACAGGGAGACACGGACGCCCCCAGCGGGCTCTCCCAGAACGGAGCGGGGCTGCTGGCCGTCACGGGGCAGGAAGGCACTGGGCTGGAGGAAGGTCCCTGGGGCATTCCAGGCCGGCCCTGAGAGGAAGCCGGGAGCTGTGGGGTGACAGCAACGGCGCTGACCCTGCTAGTCGGAGCCGCAGCACAGAGACGCCAAGAACCCCCGCCGGGTCCTCAAAGGTCCTGGCTCCCACCGCGGAGCACAGGCCTCGGGCCCTCCTGCGGCTGCCGTGGGCAGAGACTCGGCCTTTTTCCACATGAGCTTGATTTTCCCCTTTTCTTTGTAAGATCAGAATTGTGACCTCGTCTCTGCGAGGGCCCGTCACGCGGACCAGCTCAAGCAGCTCTGCTGAGTGAAACCAGGAGCTTTGAATCTCCACCTCTGCCTTGACTTCACGCCTGTTTTTGCCATCTTTGTATGAGTGAAAAGCATGATGTTGGTTTGACCCCAAATGGATGTCTCGGTAAAGTCACGCAGGTCCTGGCTTATCTGAAGGGGCTCTTCGTGCAAGCTCCCCCTTCAGAAGCTCCAAGGAACAAGCACAACCTCACAATGTCCCCCTTTGTAATTCTGCTCCAGGGCCCGGCACCGAGTCGCCAGCATTGTTCAGCACACCCCACAAATTAAGGAGGCCCGGCCCAGGGGCTTTCTTTAGGCTTCTATATCGGAGGCCTCAGGGACAACCATCAGCATTTCGTGCCTGTGCCATTGCTCTAGATCTAGAAAAAAATGGAAACCTTCAAATGCTTCACTGTAGTTGCCCACCTGCTTGCCTTAAGAGTTCTAATCACTGGGAATGTCACATCACACACACGCGCCAACATGTGCACTAGCTCCTCCCTCCCTTTTTGGGATATCTTCATTGAGACGAAACTCACATGCCAAAGAACTCACTGTGGCGTGCACCAGCCCCGCACACCCCGGATCCGCCCAGTGGCGCTGTGATCTCACACAGAGCTTTTTCATTATCCCCGCCCCCGACGCCCCAAAGCACCAGCGGTCACTCACCACTCCTGCCCCTCTCCGCAGTCCAGGCCACCAAGCCCACTTTCTGTCCTGGGTATTTCACATAGGAGGAGCCATAGACGATGGCCTGGCTCGTGCCCTTAGCTGCTGTCAAGGCCAAGTCACCACCTGCTCAGTGGCAGCCACGCTCACGCCCTCACGACGGTGACACCGCAAAGCCAGGGACACCGAACAAGCTTAGGGGCCACTTATGCATCCGCTGGAGAAATCGTCCCATTTTCCAGATTGTAACAGGTGTTCAAAGCAGGCAGTGCACTGCCAGGAGAGAGGCGGCGGCGGATGGGCCGGAACGACCTTTTGCAGTACTTTGGGGAGATGGAAAGATCTGAGCTCTGGGTCACACGAGAGACCCCGAGGGGCTTAGGGGCAGCGCCTCACGGATCCTGCCTCGCCGCTCGCACAGGCAACCAGGGACGGGGAGGTCTGGGAGGCTGGAGGAGTCTCGTTCCTACGGCGCTGAATCCATGACACACACACGGGCACGCGGGTTCTTAAGACACTCACATCTGCAGAGGCGCTGCCAGCGTGCACTGAAAGGGGCAGAGTATGAAAGTAAAGACAGCTGCTCTCCCTCCAGGGCTCGCTGGCAAAGGAGACAAGACAGGGGGCAGCTGGCAAAGGCTCCGCAGGGAAGAAGAGCACCCCCAAGGGCAGGATCACGTGCCCCAAAG